ATTCCAAAATCAATGCCCTTACCAGTAAACCACATGTAAACCTGTTATCTATGTTGGCTATCTGATTCACAAAAGTATCTAGAACAGTCCAAAGACAAAGAGAGCTACTGAATCTGCAGTCAATGATTAATGAGTCCTGAGCTTAGGCAGCAGAACATGTCCTGGTACAACAAAGTTTGATGCTTGGAACTGAATACAGGCATGCATCACTGCTCAAAGCCATCACTACTGTTTATAACTACGGAGGTGGGTATGGGGAAGTAAGCAAAAAAGGGAGATCAGGAATTCAAGTATGAGTATTTATGAGAATTATCTCATTGTTAAAGGTGTGAAATTATATAAATAGCTGCATTAATTAAGCACCAATCAGTGTCAGGTACAGTAGGCTAGATATTTTATAAAGTCATTTAATTTTTATTATTCCTTACTTACAGCTGAGGAAAAGGAATTTCAGAGAAGTAAACTAACTTGTCTAAGGACACACAGCTAGAAGGTGAGAGAATCAGGATTTGATCTAGCTAGGTTAATTTGAAAGCTTATGCTCTACTGCATAATACTTCAACCCAAACCTGCTGGGTGAGCGTATCTGTAAATGTGCTAATAAAGTAGTATCTCTAAAATCAATCAAGAGGAAGGATAATCTAAATTATATGGAAAGTGAACTTCAGGGATTTAAAAAAAAAAACCTAACTTTTAAAATTTAACAGTAAAACAAAACCATAAGGGACAGAAAGTTATTTCTCCTGTGACTCTGACCTATTAACTTTACAACAATCATTGACTTAACAAGTAGATGGGCAATCTCTGTTGTATTAGAGTGATTTCTAATAACTACGTTACCAACTTTAACTAAATAAAAGTAAACTACTGTCTTTTATATAAAAACAGGAAGTACCACAAAACATTATTTGATAAATCAATTTTATGTGTCTTATCACTCACAAGTAATGAAGCCAGGAGGGAATGATTTCCTGCTTTTATAATTGCTGTGTTTCTGCATAATCACATTGCTATCAGGTATAATGATATGCCATGAACAGTCTTGCACATTACTGAATTATCTGATAATTTGTAATATATTCAGACACCAATGAAGCATCCTGTTTATACAGATATGACATCCTTTTACGTAACATTTACGGCAAGAAAAAATTTTATTTAATAAAATGCCGATTATTTGCATACCACATGAAACATTTATTTGAACATGTTACAGTGGCATACTGGCTAAAGCATTCCACTGCTAACCAAAAAGGTCAATGATTTGAACCCACCAGCTGCTCCATGAAAGAAACCTGAGACAGTCCGCTTCTGTAAAGATTTATTAGTTGTACTCAGTCCTAAAGGGTCACTAACAGTCAAAATCAACTGGACGGCAGTAGGTTTGGTTTGAGTTATTACTATGCTTCATAAATGACAAGTGAAGTATTTATCATAGATAACACAATCATCTATGTAGCAATTTGATAAATATTTAAAATCTTAGGCATTATGCCATCAGAGGGACCTCTGGTAGCACAGTGCCTAAGGCACTTGACTGCTAACCAGAAGGCTGCGGTTCAAACCCACC